CTGGTGGTTATGAAGCTTTCTTCGGTGGAGGAACAAAATTAACTGTTTTAGGTAAGAAAGAAAAATGACACATAATGTTTGTAATAAGATTTGGGCCAGAGGAATAACTAATATAAAAAACTTTCTTACATGAGCAGCTTGGTAACAAACTTACTGTACTTGGACTCGTTATAGTCTGAGCTCAGTGCTTTTTGTTCAGAAGCTTAAACACTGTGCCAATTATGAAGCTTATTTCGGCCAGGGAACAAAACTGACTGTTCTTGGTAAGTGAAAAATCTAAATGTCTTTTCATAAACATAGTTAAACTAGTTAAAGCTGACAAAAGTGTTTCAGTAAGGTGTTTGGCTTTTAAACTGGTAAAAACAACAACAAAAAAACGCCACCAGTCAAGCACATTTAGAGTTTTTAATTTAAAGAAAAGTAAAAAGAAAAGGAAACTTTACTATTTTTTATGAAGAGACCAAAAAAATGAAGATGCAAAGTAGAAACAGCATGTTGGGCTGTTTTGAGCACTAATTAACTTCACTGTGACTCTGGTGCTGGTTCAGTGGCTTACTTTGGTGCAGGAACAAAATTAACTGTTTTAGGTAAGAAACAAAAACTATACATGAGTATATGTATGTCTGCAGTAAGGTCTTGGTGACATTAATCCAAATAGATGTTAAAATTCCCAACTGGAGTCATTATTGAACAAACTGTATTTGAGTTCTCTGTAGTCTCAGCTCAGGGCTTTTTGCTCTGAGGTTTAAATGCTGTGTCAGAACGAAGCTTATTTCGGGCAGGGAACAAAACTGACTGTTCTTGGTAAGTGACGAATCAAAATTTATTCTCATAAACCTGTCAAAGCAAAAGCAGTTAAAGCTAAAAAAAGTGTTACAGTAAGGTGTTTGGCATTTAAACCTGTAAAAATATATGTAGACTTTTACTTTAAAGAAAAGTAAAAGGAAACTTCATTAGTTTTTATGAAGAAGATTAAATGAAATGAAGATGCAAAGTAGAAACAGCACGTTGGGCTGTTTTGAGCACTAATTAACTTCACTGTGACACTGGTACTGGTGCAGAGGCTTACTTTGGTGGAGGAACAAAATTAACCATTTTAGGTAAGAAATAAAAACTATACATGAGTATATGTATGTCTGCAGTAAGGTCTTGGATACATGAATCCAAACATGTTATTTTAGTTATCCCTGGAGTGGAGTCTTTTTTGAACAAGCTTAATATGTTTGAGTTCTCCGTAGTCTCAGCTCAGGGCTTTTTGCTCTGAGGTTTAAATGCTGTGTCAGTATGAAGCTTATTTCGGGCAGGGAACAAAACTGACTGTTCTTGGTAAGTGACGAATCAAAATTTATTCTCATAAATGTTTCAAATTAAAACCAATTAAAGAATAAGTGTTGCCTGAATGTTGCCCGTTATATTACACTTATAAAAAACTTAAAAGAGCAGTGCAGCATATGTGGGACTTTTAAATTAAAGAAAAGTAACATTTAGTTCATTAAAAGCAAGCAAAGAATTAAGAAACAAAGCAGAAGCAGCATGTGTTGAGCTGTTTTGAGCACTGATCAGGTGCACTGTGACTCTGGT